GGGTCAGGTGTCCCAATCACTCAGTGGGCGTTGCCTCGCGCACAACCCAGCTTTGAGCGCCCAACGTCTGGTGGAAATTAGAGCTGCGTATGGTGACGAAACATTTTGCGTTGTGTTTTGCTTGATTGACGTTTGGTAGCGTGGCCCGGTTGCCTCTTTCACAAGCAAAGAAAACTGTTGCTGCAAGAAACTGTTCCATAACATTGTGTATCAGGGTCGAACCGCGCAGTCCCGCAAGATGAATGTGTGCGTGTGTAGGGGGAGGGGGCAGTGGGAACGATGTAGCCTACCCCAGAATACGTCAACAAACAAGCTTCTCCCCGAATTTTTTACAATTCTCAAAGTTGGTCGGGGGTAGTGAGGCTTAAGTGCAAGTTAGGAGCTCGAGCCCCTCCAGAGGACTAGGAAACTGCACGCCTGTACGGAGTCCTTCGTAACTCATTTTCACTCGAGGTGATTCCATGCGATGCGAGCTGGGTTTTGCTATAAATGTTGTGACCGCCGGCCATCGTCGAGATATTTTCGAGTTAATCGGATGACTGCCCTGATGACGATGCTTTTTCGTGCGCTTCATCCCCACGTTACTGCAGACGGATCTCAATTATTAACGATTTTCAGCAGTGGCGACACACATGTACAGCATTACCACGAACACACAATTACCATATTTATTAATGAAACGGACCGCCTGTGTACAGGACCGTACAGTAGATGAGATTGAGCGCGAACAGACGTCGTGTCTCCTGTGGACAGACTGTCGAAGCATATTATAGAGTCGTTTAGTAGAACATCTCGAAATACAAACCTGTCGTGGATCACATGCCGACCAATCTGAGAGGTCGCTTGTCAGGAGAAGCAGCTGCCAGAGTTTTGGTTCGCGCTGTGTATTACGATGCCTTCAGACAATTGCCTACTTGGTAATGCCCTCAGCGAATGGAACGAGTCAGTGTGGTAGCAGCGCTGCGTAAAAACCTGCTTTGAATTGTTTCGTTGGATGTAGCTTGTGAGACCTTGAATCTGTTTCAAACTGTCCACCGCGAGCTGCTCCCATGCTGAAGTGACGCAGTGCGGTGGCTGGTAGACAGTCGACTTGGAATCTGGTTGACTACCATCGTCCACCGACTTACCGCGCCACGTTACTTCAGTAGCGCAGCTGTCGGCGGTGAGCGTTTTGAAACCAGCCACAATCCCACAACAACAGCACCGTTGTGTGCGGATGTGCACTGGTATCAGAGACCACACCTGGCGGCCCCGTCCCTGTGCGGGCGGCCTTGCGCACACCATCCCTGAGTCGGCGCTCCGTTCCCAGATGATGGCCGTCAAGTTCCACGGCAACTTCTTCGTGAACCTGCTGGGCGTGTGGGGCGACGTGGGCGGCGGCGGCCCGGCGCGCGCTTACCCGATCGGCGGCCTCTGCTACTACTTCTCGCCGCCCGAGTCGCTCGGCCACATCGCCGAGGACCCCGTGCATGCCGTGCTGTACGTCATCTTCATGCTCGGCTCGTGCGCCTTCTTCAGCAAGACGTGGATCGACGTGTCCGGCTCGTCGGCCAAGGACGTGGCCAAGCAGCTGCGCGAGCAGCAGATGGTGATGCGCGGTCACCGCGAGAAGTCGATGATCCACGAGCTGAACCGTTACATCCCGACGGCGGCGGCGTTCGGCGGCCTCTGCATCGGCGCCCTCTCCGTCATCGCCGACTTCATGGGCGCCATCGGCTTCCGGCACGGGCATCCTGCTGGCCGTCACCATCATCTATCAGTATTTCGAGATCTTCGTCAAGGAGCAGAGCGAGATGGGCGGTATGAGTACGCTGCTGTTCTGAGAGCGCCCACATCAGAAGGGTGGACACATAGCTGTCGTTTGGTGTCACATCTTCCTGCGGGGAGGGGGGGGGGGGTAGGTACAATGTTTTTGTGAGCGGTACGTATCCTCAGGGTGGGAATTCTCAACTGTTTTGAGCTGCGCGTGCTGTCGAGGGAGGGGGACGCTGTGCCCTTCCAAGCGGTCCGGGCTCTGGGTGGGAACACCCAGCCGTTCTGAACGGCTCTTGGAACACACTGTCGTGCTGAGCGGTTCTTGGAACACACTGCCGTGCTGAGCGGCTCGTATTATCAGGATGGCGACAGCCGACTGCTCTGGACCGCTCAGAACGGCACGTGTTTCCTGCCCGGGAAACTCAACTGGACGTACTTCAGGCCGGGGCACGTGATGCTGTTTGGCTTATGTTGTCTGTGTCACACCGTCGATATTTTATGTCCGAAACGTATGACCTCGATGGTTCCGCGCGAGTGTGAGCGGTGAGGTGTATGCTGCCGTCCGTACCACAGGCCGGCCCGGCTGGTTGGGACGCATCGTGATCGTTTCTCTACGGAGACTAGTCAATACGTCACCATGCGTTTTGTACGCAGGCGACATTTGCGTACGCGACATTGATTCTAGAAATACAAAGAGCTGGACGTTTGTGTCGCGTTCCGTCGCTTGTAACGCAAGCGTTATGTCATCGAACACCAATCGTACTCTTCATGCCTATATTGGCCCGCTATTGTCGAAATCAAAAGGAATGCAAAACCCTTAATATGGATTTGCAATGGTGGGTGTCTCTACTGGAAACAGATAATGGAGCGTATGGCAGATCATGCTTTAGATCCTCGCTCGTGCCTTCGGCGAGTAAAGCCAAGAATCGCTTCGCTAGCAGACTGCGGAGGCATGTACCGAGACTACAGTTATGCGCATGAGGACATGAGGCTGGGGAGGGAAGAAGTTTCCTCTGGAAACATCGATAACCTTACACTTCGACGCGCTAGTGGATGACATAGTTTGAAGATGGGAAAAAAGTAAACAAGAAACAGTCACGTTTGATCGCTTATTACGTGGTCAGCAGCTGTTGCCGTGCCCGATCTTGGTATACGCCATATTTTTCATGTTGTAGCTTAGCATTAAAAGCGAAGCAAACATGGAGGGTAAATTATCTTGAAATATCGACTGCGTTATGTGGGGAACGTCTCTACGGATGTTGACACGGTAATGTATGTATGTAATGTAGGTAATGTCAAATGTCCTTACCTAAAAAAAAAGTTTTCATGAATGCGCATCTGCACACGCAGTAATACGCAATTGCACCACACTTCAGCCAGGTGCTAAAACACAAAGTTGCATGCTTTTTCAATTAGGTGAATTTCTTTAACAATGAATTACTTTGGTCAATCACACGTGTCATGTATTTCGAATAATGGGCATGCCAAACATCAATGCACCTCGGTATGCTATTCGTAGCAAGATACCACCGCCATCGCAGCGTTTTAGTTGGCTTTGGCGTCAAATTCAAATTGCTGCGCCGAACTTCGCCGAGATAATCGCCCAATATTTTCAGACGGGTGGTGGATCTTGGCGCTCGGGTATTCGTTGAGCTCGCATCTAATTTGTGTTCTTATCTTGCTGGTTTCTGTGCTCCAGCTCTGATGGAGACCCTTTGAAAAAGACAACCGGGTTCTTGGGTGAACAATTCCAGGTGAGGTATTACCCACAGATGTGACTACCAGATCGCGAGAGTAGATGCACGTTACTGAGAATGCAAAAACTTGTTATACTGAACAGGGAGATGTCCTGTGTGGCGGCGATATCCGAGGAAGATCTTTATTGCATGCACGCCATAAATCAGATAGCCTGAGCTTGGTGCATGGTTACCATCATTTAAGCAGTTAAAGGCCTCAATGTACCAACACATTGTGATAATGATAAATGTCTGGCAACCATATTCCTAGAACCTGGTTACAAGTGAATTATTTTAAATTCGATGTAATTTGGTCTGGCCCAAGTTCAGTGCATGCATGCTCCAGGTTCAGCACACTGGCACAACAATGGTGTAGACAGTCTTCATGTCCAGATGGCGTAGCTACATCATAATTTTTTCAGTTTGTTGAAGCAGAGTGTCAGTTTGAAGAGAATGTTAGATAGTATTGGCTTTACCAGAATGAAGCATTGATTAATTATGCTAATACCTTAATCTGCTGTTGCCTGATGATATTGTGGACATAAGTTGTGATGCATGCAGGTTTGAGTGAGTGCACAATTCTTCTTTTATGCTGTTTCATTGGAGCCTGCTTGGCTGTTTAAGTATGCATAATGGGGATGTTTGTAGGTCACACTTTCATCTCTGAATATGCTCCAATATGTATATTCCAAGTGTTTGTGAGAGGGTACAAAGCTTGCATTTTAATAAAACACAAGGTGTGCCTTCCTAAAAAGCAACACGTCTTGAGATGCCCGTTGGTGTCTTTGGATGCACAGCAAGAAAGAAAGCTACAACAAATTAAGTTTGATCTTTCATTCCCACTGTCAAAATGATTTCAGCTCAGGTAATTTGTGTGCAGATTTTAAAAAAATGTGTGTGCAAATTGTGTGTGCCAAAGGTTTTGATTGATAACTTTAAGAGCAGAGCACAAAGGCCTTAAGGCCTTTAACAAAGGCCTTAAGAGCCTTAGCACAAAGGCCCTTGATGCCCCAATAAATATCTTAAAGTTTCTTAAAGCTCAGTAGGAACATGTTTCAAGTGGTTTGCACACATTTTATTTCAGCTGTCAGTTTACCCTAAAGTCTTAGCAAACAACTCCACTTGAACTGGTAGCTGGTGTTGCAGGTGCAGCACAGAAGGGCCAGAGCAATCCATTGATGACTGCCTGCTGTAATGGAGTGTCATCCCCACCTCCTCAGTGCCATTAACCTCGTCCTGACCCACTGGCGGCAGCGCGATCATGGCGGAGGACACGATCGTGGCGCGTGCGGCGCGGCTGGAGCAGCTGGTCAGTCAGCGGCGGCCGGCGGCGGCGGCGCGTGCCGGCAAGACGTCCGGCAGCGGCTGCCTGCGCCAGCTGCAGGCGCTGGCCGGTCGTGACGCCCTGCTGGACGCGCTCGTAGCTCTCTATGAGGAGTGCAACAAGGACGGCCTGAAGCAGAACCCCCTGGTGGCCGGCTTTGTCAGCAAGTGTGAGTGCGGCTCGGCATGGAGCGGTCGGAACGGGCTGATGACTTTGTCTCTGGAGCTTTTGTCGCACATTGCGGTGCGTTGAAATTATCTTCTGCTTGGCCTCTATAATTGTTCTGCTCTTGTGTTACTTGTTGGTTGTGGATCACTGCGTTGTCTTCATCGTGCTGGTCATAGATCACTGTGTGCGCTCTGTAATGTGTGGTCGTCGGAGACGGCAGTGACGGGTCGTGTCACGCCCCTGTCTACCACACCGCGGCCGCTGACCGACCGTGCCGCGCCCGTGGCCCGCTCGCTCGTGACGGGCGGCGCCACCCGGCCGCGCCGACCCTGACCGGCCGCGCCCCGGCCGCCAGTCCGCGGCACCGTGACCGAGCTGCGGCGTCTGCGCGTCGGCCCGGCCGACTTCGAGGTGCGCAAGACGATCGGCCGCGGCCACTTCGGCCAGGTGCACGTGGTGCGCGAGCGCCGCTCGGGTGACGTGTTCGCCATGAAGACGCTCCGCAAGCAGGACACGCTGGCGCAGACCGGGGTGAGGCGCGCGCTGCCGTTGGCTGGTGGGGGCATGGGCGAGGGTACGGCTGGGTGGACGCAAGCAGGACACGCTGGCGCAGACCGGGGTGAGGCACGCGCTGCCGTTGGCTGGTGGTGGCATGGGCGGGTGATGACTGGGTGGAGTCCTGGAGGAGGGAAGGTGCTGGCGTGCTGGATGAGGGCGTTCGGAATGATACGAGGTTCGTGGTGCGTGTTGGAGCGGAATCAAGCCATGTTTTGTTTGTTAAGGTCAGTGTATGTGGTGTGCGCTGTTCCGGTCGTGCCTGTGGTGTGAGTTTTCGGTGACCGGTTGAGTCCGTTTCCAGGTGATGTTTTATGAAGAGGAACGGGATATCATGACTGAGGCCGTGTCGCCGTGGATCACGGCTCTTCACTACGCATTCCAGGTAAGAAATATTACCTGAGGCGCCCCGCTTGCTGCACCATGTACACACTGTTAAGTTTGTTTTCACATGCTCGCGATATTAATTTATTTGCACACTGATTAGGTTGTAGTTTGAGCCATGCTCTTTCCTCATTCGTTTCTGCGCTTGTTGCGTGTTGATTTCGCTAACCAAATATGTTGCATGTGTGCCACCTAGAGAAGACGCGTGTCTGATGTAGCTCTTCGGGTGTGAACCGCCAGCAATGACCAGCCGCCATCAAAGCCCGTACTCGGTAAGTCTGGCTGTCCGTGCCGCGTCCAGAGGCTGAGGCTGGCGACGCACCACCACCACGCCTGCCCACTGTCCGTGCTCAGGACTCGCAGCTGCTGTACCTGGTGATGGACTTCCACCCGGGCGGCGACCTGATGACGCTGCTGGACCGCTTCGACGGCGTGCTGGAGGAAGAGACGGCGCGCTTCTACCTGGCCGAGATTGCGCTGGCGCTGCACGATCTGCACGCCATGGGATACGTGCACAGGTTAGGCGCGTGTGCGGGAGTCGGGAAGGGGAGGGGGGCTACGCAGACAGGTCGATGCAGAGGGCCATTTTGGTCCAGTCAGTTGCCAAGTCATTGTGTCGAATGCGTATGTGTAGGAGGTCCACAAGATGCATCATTGCGTGGATAGTGATGATGTGATATTTGTCGACCATATGTAAGTTTTCTGTGCTTCTTTTTCCCTCGGCTCGCAATTTACTGGCTTTGAGATTAACCAGTTCATGTTAAAGTGTGGACGCGAACGGACGTGAATTCTGCCTGCTTCTGGCCGCCGCGTAGCTATGTTGTTGGCTGCCGTGGCTCCCGCCCGTCGGTGCGGTCCGCCGGCCGCGGCCCCTCTGACGCCGCCGGCCGCCGCCCCGCTCCCAGAGATGTCAAGCCGGAGAACGTGCTGCTGGACCGGTGCGGCCACGTGAAGCTGGCCGACTTCGGCTCGGCGGCGCGGCTCGGCGCCGGCGGGCTGGTGTCGGCCGCCATGCCGGTCGGCACGCCCGACTACCTGGCGCCCGAGGTGCTGCGCGCCGTCAACACGGCCGGCGCGCGCCAGCCGGCCAGCCCAGCCTACGGCGTCAGTCAGGGCAGGGGCTGGCGGACGGGGGCGGGCTGGTGTCGCACTGCGGTGTGCGGTTTGTTCCCGGGCGGTGTGGTGGCCGAGTGGAGAAGATCTTTGGTGATCCCCGTCATGTGATGACTGGTGAATGAGGATGATCTTGAGGTTGAGAGACGTGAGCTTGGTCCCCGCCGCAGGAAACTTTCGCTGGCCTTGTTTCTGTCAAGGCGTGGCAACGACACTGACCTCAGTAATTTCAATATGCGTAGTGAGTCACTTAACTATGAGCGCTTTGTCGGTATCTCCAGGTTTGCATTGTAGGACTGAATCTGTTGCGTTCTATTTCATGCACGCTGAACCACTGTTCAATTTTGACCGATGCGTTCGGCTGCGATGCCAAGTTATGACTGTGACAGTGACGTGTGTTAGACGGTAACAGAACAAGCGATGTCATCTTTAGATTTGCTTCCGTTGACGACAGCGGGTGTCCCCCTCCGGCATACCCTCATCGACGTGTAACCTTTACGCGTGCAGAAGGACTGCGACTACTGGTCCCTCGGGGTGGTCGCCTTCGAGATGCTCACTGGAAGAACACCGTTCAGTGATGACAAGCTGGGCTCGACCTACAACAACATCCAGCAGCACAAGGTAGGTGAAAGCGTTCTTGCATCTTGATGGACTCCAGGAGACCGTGCGCACAATGCCTCTCGTGGCCTGAGTAGGTTCGTTAGTAAGGTTGTGAAGTAAGGTTACTTCGCACGGCCCGCCCGACGCTGACTCGTGTTCAGTAGCCTGAGTAGGTTCGTCAGTAAGGTTGTGAAGTAGGGTTGTTTCGCACGGCCCGCCCGACGCTGACTCGTGTTCAGTAGCCTGAGTAGGTTCGTCAATAAGGTTGTGAAGTAGAGTTATTTTGCACGGTCCGCCCGACGCTGACTCGTGTTCAGTAGCGATGCTGCGAGCCGTCCGGTGGGTGATGAGCGGACGGCGCCGCGCGAGCCCTGCCGATCGTGCCCCGTACCTGCCGTCGGGGCGGCGCCGGACGTGGCGCTCACACCGCCACCCTCCGGCGACAGAAGCACCTGGTGCGGCCCAGCGAGCCGGCGCTGAGCGACGCCGCCTGGAGCCTGATCGCCGGCCTGCTGACCGACAACAACCGGCGCCTGGCGCACGCCGACGTGCTGCAGCATGCCTTCTTCACCAGCGTCGACTGGAACAACATCGCCAACAGTGAGGAGCGCGCGCGGTCCGACAGCTGTGGGCCGCTGGTTCCACGGCCCTGTGGCCGAACGGCGGCCACCACGCGGCAGCCCGTGCTGTTTACTGTGCTTGTTGTTCCAACGCGATGGGTCGGCGGACTTGTGAGGAGGCCCGTGTGAGCCATGACTTCGAATCAACCGTTTGGGTGTTGGGACAGTGATTGCGTTGCACGCATTGCTCTCCGAATAGCTGGCGCACTGGGCTGATAGCCGCATGCGGAGCTCTAGTGCGGCCGCGTCTGACCGTCTCGTCGTCACTCGTGGCTGACCTGTCACGCTAAGTCTGACCCCCGTCCCGCCGCAGCGGTGCCGCCGTTCATCCCGACCGTGAACGGCGTGGACGACACGTCCAACTTCGACGAGGTGTCGCCCGAGCCGCCGTCGCCCAGCCTGGACTCGCTGCTCTCGCAGCAGAAGTTCTCCGGCCGCGAGCTGCCCTTCATCGGCTTCACGTTCACCAAGCCGCTCGGCGAGACGCGTCCACTCAAGGACCGGTCAGTGGTGATGCGGGCCCGCTGCTGGGGAGTGCGGCGGGGTGGGGCGAGGGGGTGGTCCGGTTACGGAGGTGCCAAGGGTGACTGGTCTGGGCTGCTCAGCTGGTAGTGGGTTGCCCGCTGGGTGGACGAACTCGTAGCAAAGTCGGGTATTCGGACGAAGCCGTTGGCGAGTACTGGCGTGCATTCACTTGACACGTTCAGTGGCAGTCTGTCCTTTTATGTTCTCTCTCTTCTTATCCTGCATCCTCGCGACGTCCCGCTTGTCCGGGGCAGGCTGCACGCGCCAGCCATGAGTGAGTCGAAGCGCCACCCTGCGGCTCCCCGTCCGAGCGTCGAGTCACACACCCCGCAAAGGGGTCTCTGTGGGGACAAAACCTCGGTGGATGGGCCGTATCCATTCTCCTTCGTCCCATGGCCCTGAAATGGCCGTGACTGGCGGAAAGGGCTCTAATCCAGACAGCAAACCAACCAACAGTGTTGGACCCGCGGCCCAGGTTTGCTCGCTCCCGCCGGACCTATCGTAAAAATGTACGGCGACCGCAATTGTCGATGGGTCGCCCTGTCGCGCGTCCCTGCACGTTTCCACTTGTGCGGCGGGGTCGCTCGCTGCCGCCTGGCACCATATGATAGCCGCGGCCGACGCTGTCCGCAGGCAGCGCAGCAGCTCGCTGCTGCCGGCGGCCGACGCAGAGCCATCTAGCGAGCTGGAACGGAAGGTGTGCGCCCAGCGACGCCAGCTGCACACGCTGCGCGAGCGGCTGGACGAGTACGAGCGCGGCGAGGGTCGGCAGCCAGCTCAAGCAGGTACCGACGCTCGTTCCCGGCCAGCTGGAGGGTGCCACCCCCGGGGGATGATGGGAGGTGTTGTGCTCGGCACCGCTTTGCGAGCTGGCAGCGCCGAATAAATCGGCTGGAAGAAGGGGAGGAGTGCTTGTGCTTTATGATTTATGTTGCAGTCCCGCGAGACCGGTGGATGTGCTAGTGAAGACATTGTGCACAGGGAATGCGTCATGTAAAGTGCCGTATATATATATATATATATATATATATATATATATATATATATATATATATATATATATAGCGGGGTATTTGGATCGGATGTTATCTCGACCGGCGCGTGCACTACTATTCTCCTTCCTCCCCAGCTGAGCGCGAAGGTGGATGAGAAGAGCGAGCGTCTACAGAAGATTGAGGAGGAGCGGAACCGGCTGGAGGCGGCTCTGGCCCGGGCCGAGGACAAGTCCGCTGTGAGTCTGCATATTCTCCCCCATGTGCAGCACCGGGCTGTGTCGGAACCCGCGGCGCCTCGAGTGTGGGCCCAGCACTCGTGTTCAGCTGGTGGTCGTCCCCTCGCACATGATGACAAACACTGCGCAAATCTGAGCGTGCGGGTGGAGCGGTCGGCCGCGGCCGGACCCTCCCCGCTCGCGCTGATCTGACCCAGGTCCTGAGCCCCTGCGTGTGGCGCCGCCGCCGCCGCCGCCGCTGCGCCGCCGCGCCTGACTCCCCTCCCGCCGCTAGGGCTACGTTCGCCTGCTGGAGGTAGAGAAGAAGGACCGCATGTCGACCGAGAAGCGCGCGCTCGAGCTGCTGCAGGACATCAAGCGCAAGTGGAAGCGCGACGAGGAGGAGCGGCTCAAGGTCATCCAGGACGAGGTCAAGGTGAGCTGACGGGATCAGCCGGCCGCCACACGGGTTATGTGGAGTTCGTGGAGCAGCGTGGGTTTTGCCATTGTCTGCGCGGCAGCGTGTGTGTGTGTGTGTGTGCGCGCGCGTGTGTGCGTGCGTGCGTCGGTGCTCCACGACGCACCCAGGTGCTGTGGCGATATAGCGTCGCATGTCTCACCCTGGCAGTATGGGCGGGCACCGCTGAGAATCGGACGCCGCACCTCTGGTTTCCCAGACGCGCTGCGTAACCACTGCACCATCGGTATCCTTGCATGGATGTGACGTTGCATGTGCCTGGCAGTAATATGAATGACGTCACCAAGCTGTCTGAGGCCCGAGCTTTACTATGACTGTCGTGGAACGGGAGAGCGTTCGTTGAACCGCCATCTGTCCGCAGCGGTACCAGGCCGAGTGCAAGTCGATGGAGGAGAAGTACCACTTCTCGCTGGAGAACCTGCAGCGCTGCCAGAGCCAGCTGAATGCCGCCGAGGAGGCCAGGAAGACGGCCGAGGAGGCCGCCAAACAGAACCAGCACAAGGTCAAGGAGGTACGTCTTGTCGTGGGCGACCGGAGCGCCGCCTCGTTCGGATCGGAGGGCACGACTAAGTCACTGGGATAATAGGCGGCCGAAATGAAAATTGAAGCGCCAACGTGTTGGGATGCCAGTTAGACCGCTCCATTTTGCCTGTCAATCCGCATTTTTTTGTGCGTGCTGGTTCTGCTGAAGTGCGACCAGTGTGAGTGCTGCTTCCACGGAAGTTGCAGTATTTTGAGTGTTTGGAAGGCGTCACACCGCGCCGCGCGACCTTCCCAACACGGTTGTATGGTGACTAAGACCAAAAGACCAACCAAGACTTCGAGCCAAGAAGTCTGACTGAATGACTGAGCTGGTGAGCGACTCTGGACTGTTGGGTGAGCGCGTGTGCCGCTCAGATAGTGGGTATGTCTCCGGGCAAATGGCACGAGACTGGATTGCTGGGCGTGCGTGTGTGCCCCTCGGATAATGGGTGTTTCTCCGGGTAAATGGCACGAGACTTGACTGCTGGGCGTGCGCGTATGCCCCTCAGATAATGGGTGTGTCCCCGGGTAAATGGCACGAGACTGGATTGCTGGGCGTGCGTGTATGCCCCTCGGATAATGGGTGTGTCTCCGGGTAAATGGCACGAGACGCGCGAGCAAGGGCTCCCGTTGTGGACCGTTTCGGTGACCGGCTGGGCCCGTTCGCTAGGTACTGGACAGCAGCCGAGTGGACTCGGCCGGACTGCAGCAGCGGCTGGAGCAGACGACGGCCGCCTCGCAGCAGCAGCTGCTCCAGCTGCAGCAGCAGCTCGCCGCCGGCCAGCGCGACCGCGACCAGCTGCAGGCGCAGCTGCAGCAGGCGGCGCGCGACCAGCGACGGCTCGAGCGACAGGTGAGGAGGGGGTCAGTCGGACGCCCCGGGGCGTGACTGAGCTGCCCACGGCTCCACGTGGTGTCTGGCTCTAGCGGCGTTCGGGCCCAAGTTGTCTAAAGGCGTCATATGCGTTACGTGCTGTCCGACCGTCTTTCCCTGGCGCTAACACCGTGCTTCGCTCTCTTCCGGGAAATGGCATGTGTTTACCTTTGACATATTCATGCCAAGCGCATTCCTGGCGTGTCTACGAAGGTTGTGTATCTGTCCAGCACGCTCAGGTTTTCCGTACGCCAACGCGCTCACGTGACCGTGTTGGAGTGTCCCCGCCCGTCGTGACGCCGCCTGACCGTCGGCAGCTGGAACAGACGACGGCCGACGCGGCGCAGCTGGCAGAGCTGCGCGCCGAGCGGGACCGGCTGCGTGCCGAGGCCGAGCGGCTGGCGCGCGCGCGCGGCGACGCCGAGGCGCGCGCCGATCGGTGCCAGCAAGGCGGCTCGGCGGCCGCCGCCCAGCTGGAGCGCCAGCTGGCCGAGCAGCGCCGCCAGACGGCCGAGCTCGCCGAGCAACTGCAGGTGGGCAGCCGGTACCGGGCACCGGGTGCGGGACTGTCCAGCGGTGGCCAAGCATGAACTGGGGATGGGTTTAAACGCTGGGTGCACGGCGTTCTGGGGTTTGTTCGATACTGAATCTGTTTTGTTCTCTTGCGCGATGGCCGTAGGACGTCGTTCAGCCTTATCGGTGGGCGGTGTTGATAGAGTTGTTTGTGTCTCTAGCTGTACTGCCGCGTCCGCAGCAGTGTGACAGCCACGGCGACGTGGTGTCTGTGGCTGTTTCTGCTGCTGACGTTGCCAACTTAGGAACTGCTGTCATCATCCGCCGTCGCCTGCCTTGAGTCCCACCGCCGTGTCCCTCTCTCAGGTCTCATGTTGTGCCTCTCCCTTTGTATCACGCCGCCTGTGCTTCCGCCACCGTGTCGCGCCATACCCGCCGCCGCCGACACTCCGCTCCGCCGCCGACACCCCGCTCTGCCGACAGTCGGCGCGCGCCCGCCGGGAGCAGTCGGCTGCTGCGCTGTCGGCGCGCGAGGCCGAGCTGGCCGGTCTGCGGGACGCGCACCTGGCCGAGGCGGCCGAGCTGCGGGCCCAGCTGGAGGCGGCGCACCAGGAGCGCGACGCCATGCTGCAGGACCTGCGCATCACCCAGGACAAGGAGGGTACGGCACGCACGCACGCGCGCGCGGCGCGGCGCTTCGCGGCCCCGCTTGTGCGCTCCGGACGGCTGGCGATGGCCGGTTACATGGCGGCGTCGGGTAGCTGGGCCACTGGTTGTGTTCGGAAGGCTGGCGATGACCGGCTACCCTGCGGTATTGAGTGGCTGGGCCGCTGGTCGTGTTTAGAGACTTGCGGCTGTAGTTCGGGAGGTGGATTTCAAAGGGCAGTTCAGCTACAGGGGCCGTCCATCCACCGCCCGGGGAGGTCGGGGCACGCCCCGTATTTGCCGTACTGCGGACGTCTGGGGGTGGTGCCGTGCGGGGCGTCTGACCCGGGCGTGGTTACAGAGGATCACCAGCAGCGCATCTGTGAGCTGGAGACCACCCTCCTGGGCCTGGAGGAGTCGCTCAACAAGCTGGAGCACTGCAACGAGACGCTGCAGCACCAGTTGGCCAACGCCAGCGCCGCCGAGCCGCACGACAGGTGGATGGGCCTACACCCCGTCGGGCGCCCCCCCCCCCCCCCCCTCACATTTCACGGAGTCCCTCTTTCACAGTGCTGACCAAGCATGTTTCTGTCCTACTCTCGTGTTGCTTAATCCACATCTGCCTACCTTCTTGCTCTGCTGTTCTATGATTTGCTTGCATACCGGCTTATTGACTCTCATGCTTTGTTTTTGGCTGCCATCTGGCCCTCCTGTTGTCATGTTATTGTGTTGTCTTCAGGAGTGTAGTTTTCTTTCAATTTGGGGGGGGGGGGGCGACACTGATATGCCCCCAACCTTTGGACAAAGTGGGCAAAATCCTGGGAGAAGCCTGTTTGTTGGCATATTTTGGGTGTAGGTTGGGTCATTTTCACTGTTCAGCAACCCCTCCACCTCCAACTCATTTTGTGAAACAACGCTCCTGCGTGTCTTATTCTCTTTGGTCTCCCGCCATTCTGTCCCTTTTTTTCGTGCAATGACATGCTCATTATTTGTCTTTCCGTCCTGTTTGTGTATTCTCCCGGCTACCGCCTCTGGACAAATCAGTGTCCGTCGCGCCTGGTAAACACCGCCCGTCTGCCGGCAGTGAGGAGCTGGCCAAGCTGAAGCAGTCGCAGCTGGTGCTGGAGACGCAGCTGGAGCGGACCGAGAAGCAGCTGGAGTCGGCGCGGGAGCGCGGCGCCGTGGACCGGCACAAGGTGGCCGAGCTGCAGGACCAGATCAGACTGGTACGTGTCGTCGCCCGGCCGGCCGCGTTCGCCGACCTTTCATCTCGCTGTCGGGCACGTCACATCAAATGTGATATGATGACTTGTAATGGTCCAGTACGCATCCTGTCGTAGTCATGTCCAGCTCGAATCTGACGTAGCTGTCTGTAAACCAACCTTAACTTTGTACCGCGAAGAAGATTTCTTGTCCACTCACTCACCAAACGCCAGCGTAATACGTAAGCCCGTCTCTGTGAGCCGTTCCGCCGCCCGCGCCGCAGAAGGACAAGCAGGTCGCCGACTGGAAGATCGACGTGCGCATCGCCAACCGGGAGGCGCGAGCGGCCGAGGCGGCGCTGGCCGAGCTGCGCCAGGCCGAGGCTGGCTGGGTGGCGGAGCGGACCGAGCTGACGCAGCGCGCCGGCCGGCTCGAGCAGCAGCTGGCCGAGCGGCAGGCCGGCCTCGAGCGCGCCGAACGCGACGTGGAGCGGCACGGTCGCGAGGCGCACGAGCTGAAGGAGGCGCACGAGGTGAGTCAGTCGGTCGGCGAGGCGCGCCGGGGGCGTCTGGAAACAGGAGGGATGCACGCATCAATGACGGGGGAGGCGAAGCACAGGGAGAAAATTGGAAGCGGTCGCGTAAACGGAACTGGACTTAGGTTGTTGCTCAAGCAAGACGGAATGGGGTACTCGTAGATAAGACAGGATACAAGTTTGTGCACCAGCAAGTACGGTGTTTCATTTGTAGACCAAAGGAACTTGTAAAAAAGCAACAAATCCAGGTGTGTGTGTAAATGCATATGCAAATGCACAGAATCCACTCACGTTCATGCGCTACTCTACGTTTACAAGTATTGTTTCTAAGATAGGCTTTGAAAGATCGTTGTCACGATGATCGTCCTCATAAATCCTGGACTTTTGAAGATGTTTGTTAAAGTGGACTTGACGCTTAAGATTCGGACCATGTGCCGAGCGATTCGGACCGTCCCATCGTTCTGTCTGTGTGCTGATTTGGAAGTCAGTCGTCCCCAGCGAAGAGAGCCGTTCTCAGCCGGAATGTTGAATGAAGCCGTTCTCAGCCGGAATGAAGTACCGACCGCTCGCATCGGTGGGCCCGACGGCCTTCCCTTGCCGCGTCCGAGCCGGGCCCTTCTGACCAGCCACGTGCCCGTCCGCACACAGACGGAGGTGGGGCCGCTGGGTGGAACAGGTGCGCGCGCTGGAGCGGGAGCTGGCCGAGGGCGCGGCGGCCGCCGGCCAGCGCGAGCAGGCCGAGCGTGCCGCCCAGCGCCTGCAGGAGCGGCTTGACGACCAGCAGGCGGCCGCCCAGCAGCAGACCGAGCGCACGCACCGCCTCCAGGAGACGGAGGAGGCGCTGCGCCGCGAGCTGGCCGACGCTCAGAAGAAGGCCGACCAGCAGGAGGCGGTGAGGACCGGGCGGCGCCGCTGGGTGGCGGGCTGGGCGAGTGGTACGCGAGTTTTGAGACTGGGATGCCAGCTTCGCTTCAAATGTGTTTATTTCCCTTTTTGCGGCCCTGGTACAGCATACTACCCTGACTTATTACCAATGTTTAGCACGTGAGCGAAGTTCAGCGATGTCACTTAAAGTACGCCGTATAACCCAAATAAGTTGATGTAACGCCAGAAAAGCTCTTGAATGTCGGGTGTTGAGCACGTCCCCAATGCAACGGAGCTCTCACTACTCTTCGGCTGTTACTAGAGCCTGACCGCTGTAGTTTATGGAGCCGTGGTTTACCTCGCATCTGAGCTGACGCGTCGCTGCCGACCATAGACGATCTCGTCCCTGAAGGACCTCTGCTCCACGCTGGACACGCAGCTGACCGACATGGAGCAGCTGCTGAAGAAGCAGGAGGCCGACACAGATAAGCAGGAGCAGAACAAGTCAGTGTGTAGCGCAACCCACCGGCTGCGGACTTGGCCACAGCCTGCCGGGGTGTAGCCGATGCTTATGGTGTCACATAACACGATTAGGCGAACGAGAACAACGTATCGTCGAGCGGGCACAAAAGATCCCTTGTGTTAAGCTGATGTTTCAGACCCTAAATCCCTTAAAGTTCCTCTTCGCCAGACTTCAGTTCAAACATTGTTCGCACGCACCACTCGGACCACTTAGCTGGCCAAGGACCGCGACCACGGAGCCAGCTGGTAGCTTAGAACGTTCTTGTTTTGACCGCACTGACTCTGGCCTCATCTCTGACGACACCCTGCGTGTGCACCCCTCCGGATCAAGTTAGCCCTGTCTGCCGAGGTCTGCCTTTTGTCTCGCCCTGTTCTTGTGACTCGAGCCTAATGGTCCGTTGTGTGTCCCTCCCGCCAGGTCTCACGGCCTGTTGTTTGCCCCCGCCCTCCAGGTCCCTAACAGCCCGTTGTGTGCCCCTTCCCGTCAGGTCTCTAACGGCCCCTTTTTGTGCCCCTCCCCGCCAGGTCTCTCATGGTCTTGTGTACCTCTCCCCCGCCAGGTCTCTCACGGCCCGTTGTGTGCCCCTCCCCGCCAGGTCTCTCATGGTCTTGTGTACCCCTCCTCGCCAGGTCTCTCACGGCCCGTTGTGTGCCCCTCCCCGCCAGGTCTCATGGTCTTGTGTACCCCTCCTCGCCAGGTCTCTCACGGCCCGTTGTGTGCCCCTCCCCGCCAGGTCTCATGGTCTTGTGTACCCCTCCTCGCCAGGTCTCTCACGGCCCGTTGTGTGCCCCTTCCCGTCAGGTCTCTAACGGCCCCTTTGTGTACTCCTCCCCGCCAGGTCTCTCACGGCCCGATGTGTGCCCCTCCCCGCCAGGTTTCTCATGGTCTTGTGTACCCCTCCCCGCCAGGTCTTTCACGGCCCGTTGTGTGCCCCTCCCCGCCAGGTCGGCCCTGTCGGACGAGATCGCGCGCCTGCAGACCGAGCTTCGCTCCGCCAAGGCGGGCGCCAACGAGGAGAAGTCGCTGAAGCTGTTCCAGGAGCGGCGCGTCCAGGACCTGGAGCGCCGCCTGCAGGAGCAGGAGGCCGACGTCGAGACCGAGCGTGACATCCTGAAGAAGGACCTGGACGAGTACCGCGAGCTGTCACACGGTCTCACCAACCAGGTGAGCCGAGGGCTGCACTCGTGGGACGCTGAAACGTTTGGTGGTTCGCCAAGCACGCTAACAAGCGGCAAGAATGCTGATGAGTGTTGGATATCCCAGTAATTACCAGTGTTTGGGGAGCGCGGGAGAAAAACGTCCATGCCCGTCAGTCTGTGCGCGTTCCCAGATTTTCTTTGTCGCTGCGCTGCGGTTCCGTTCCTGTGCCCTTTTCCACGCCCATGTCGGCGACATCTTGTGCGCACGTGACGGCGGCGCCGCGCTCCGCTGGTCTGACGGCTGGGTGTCGGCGCAGCTGTCGCAGCACGACCAGCAGCTGTCGGAGGCGCAGACGCAGCTGCGCCAGCTGGAGCGGCGCGAGGAGCAGACGCTGCGCGAGATGGCCCGGCTCAAGGAGGAGACGTCCGGCCTGCTCACGCAGATCCACTCGCTCAAGGACTCCAACTTCCAGCTGACCGAGGCGCTCGAGAAGGCCGTCGACCGCGCCGAGGCCTTCAAGGAGAGGTCAGCCGGGGTCGCCGCGCGCTGCGTCCGCCGACTGGGCCGGGCGGTTGGTAGCAGGAAGCGCCATTGGTTTTGGCGGTGAATTCTCGGACCGCATGGTCCTCACCTGCTGCTTCTTATGCGTGCTGACTGCTACCAACTGGCAACCATCAGCATCAGCAAGCTCATGCCCGATCTAGCCTGGCTCGAAACATCGTAACCTAGGGTGCCGGGGCCTGCCCTGTGCTGACCATTGCCCGGCCCGGCCAGCCTTAGCCCGCGCCGCCGTAAGCCAATGCTGACCGTTGGCGTTGACCTGCCGTGGCCGGGCAGGATCGCCGAGCTGGAGGGCGTCATCTCGGAGATGCAGCTGAGCTACGACGAGAAGGAGCAGCGGCTGGAGGGCACGCTCGGTCAGCAGACCAAGCTGATCGACTTCCTGCAGGCCAAGTCGGAGGCGCCGCCGCGCAAGAAGGTGGGTCTGTCGTCGGTGCTGGGACGGGCCCGGGAGCCGCGGCTGGACTCCGGGGCGGGCCGGGAGCCGCGGCTGGACTCTGGGGCGGCCCGGGAGCCCTGGCTGGGCTCTGGGGCGGGCCGGGTAGCCGCGACTGGACGCAGGGACGGGCCCGGCAGCCGCGGCTGGACTCCGGGGCGGGCCGGGAGCCGCGGCTGGCGGTGTGGGCCACCGCAGCCGGGCTCGGCTCTGGTACCGGTGGCGGGTGGTGTTGGTAGGCCGCCGGACGGCCCCAGGGTGGGATTTAGGTTGAGCTTTGGTCCTGGATCTTGAGTGTGGAATTTGGAAGGATGTCTTGTGGGTTTTGAATGGCCCAGAAACGGCAAGAACACTATATCCATATGTATATGATACGTGACAATATATGATATATATTGCCATATATCATAAGCCATTGCAATTGCATTTATTTTGGTAGTGCTTTGCATCATTCACAACGTAATACGGAACGATGCTCTCTATCCCCAGTCAACTCATTTCCTTGCCCGGGCTCTCTCGAGGCCCGGACAAGCCGGAGGGCGCTCTTGTCCCGCTGTCGCCGCGGCGTCGGAGCAGCGGCCGTCCATCAACACGCCACGGCCGCTGCCCGGCCTGCCTCTCAGCCACAGTCTCTGGACGCCGCCCGGCCCGTCCATCACCACGCCACGGCCGCTGCCCGGCCTGCCTCTCAGCCACAGTCCCTGACGCCGCCCGGCCCGTCCATCAGCGCACCACGGCCGCTGCCCGGTCTGCCTGTCAGCCGCAGTCCCTGACGCCGCCCGGCCCGTCCATCACCGCGCCACGGCCGCTGCCCGGCCTGCCTGTCAGCAGCAGTCCCTGACGCCGCCCGGCCCGTCCATCACCGCGCCACGGCCGCTGCCCGGCCTGCCTGTCAGCAGCAGTCCCCGACGCCGCCCGGCCCGTCCATCACCACGCCACGGCCGCTGCCCGGCCTGCCTCTCAGCCACAGTCCCTGACGCCGCCCGGCCCGTCCGCAGACGCTGGCCGACCGGCTGTTCGGTGAGAAACAGAAGGAGAACTGCACGCCCGTGCCGCTGAAATACCGTGACCTGGAGCGGCTGTTGGAGCGAGAGCGCATGCGCACCAAACAGGCCAACGACCAGCTGAACCGGGCCAGGGCCGAGATCGTGTCCCTTACCAACAAAGGTGAGCCGGCGGCGGCTGAGGAATGGTGCGGGGCACGGAGCGCTGGAGGGCCCGGACAGTAACTTGAGAAGACGACAGGCCGCTGGCAGGGGGTTTGTGGGGCTGCGACTTGTGTTGTATGTTTGGAGTGTCTTGACTGGTGTCATGGTTGCTTGGTGTGTTCTTTATTTTTCTTGCATGAATTTGGTCATGTAAAGAGAATGAGTGTGGGCGGAGTATGCTCATTGGCTCAGTCGCAGTGCCGATGAAAAAAGCAACACCATAAGGAGCAATGTGTAGATGTTTAAATGTCGTAATCGGTCTGGGTTTGAAGCCAGGTGTCTTGCCTCCAGCTGCAGTCACAGGGGAACATCGGGAACATCAAACAATTAATTTATATTTTAATGGCTGCAAGGTGATAGATGGTCGCCGTCACACACGTTTGGTGTCTTGCTTTTTGTACGGGAATAACCGTGCGGAGATGGCAACAGGACATACGTTGTTCATCTCAACAATGACCGTTCGGTAAAATGCTCCGGCTAGTCAGCGACGCAAGGTATCTTCACAAGTCGCACACGAACCGCACACGACCGCCATCGTGAACTCGGCCGTGGCGTGAGACCGGCACGTGACCTGGCGCCCCGCCCGTGCGCCGGCAGTGCCCACCTGTCCGGACACGCCGTGCCTGGGCGGCACGCCGCAGTCGCGCCAGGCGCTCCGTCTGCTGGCGCAGTCGCCGGGGGTGCAGAGCACGCCGGCGGCGCGCGGCGCCCGCGCCGGCGCGCCGCCGCCGCCAGCCACGCCCACGCCCACGCCGCAGCGCATGCACCATAACATCCCGCACCGGTTCGACACGGGCCTGATGACGCGGGCCGCTAAGTGCGCCGCCTGCCTGGGCCCGGTGCGCTTCGGACGCACGGCCGCCCGCTGCGCCGAGTGTCACATCACTGCCCACCCCAAGGTACGGGCGCTGTGCCGAGTGTCACATCACCGCACCCCAAGGTACGGCTGCTGTGCCGAGTGTCACATCACTGCCCACCCCAAGGTACGGGCGCTGTGCCGAGTGCCACATCACCGCACCCCAAGGTATGGGCACTGTGGCGGGTGGCACGTGGCCACCGCTCTCCCCCCGGTGCAGTCGGGTGATAGGCCTGCGGCCGGCGATCAGCAGCGGGGCTGGCGTCCTTGATCGGATGGAGAGGATCTCAGTTTGGTTGTCGTGATGCATCAGCTTGATGTGTCTCCATGAGCTCTGCAGTCAAGCTGGAAATCGCACAGCATTGCCGACTGTTCTCGGTGTGTCGGTGGACCTCCAAGTCGGCAGTTTTGAAAGCTGAAGCTCTTAAGACTCCCTCATCAGTATGGCCGTCGGTGCCCCGGCCGGGTGCGCGTGCGTCTCCTCCGCCGTGCGCCGGGTGCCGCTGACGCCGCCTCCTGCTGCAGTGCGCCGGCGAGCTGCCGCGCACCTGCGGCCTGCCGGCGGCGCTGGCGCGGCACTTCTCCGACTCGTGGCAGCAGTCGGACGCCTCGCCGGCCGTGCGCCGTGTCGCCGGGCCGCCCAAGCCGCCCCGACAGCCCTCCGAGGACACGCCCACCGCCGGCCGCGGCTGGATCCGGGTGCCCAGGTGTGTGACGGGGTCCGGGGCGCCAGGTGCGTGGTGGGGTCAGGGGCGCCAGGTGCGTGGTGGGGTCCGAGGCGCCAGGTGCGTGGCGGGGTCAGGGGCGCCAGGTGCGTGGTGGGGTCCGAGGCGCCAGGTGCGTGGCGGGGTCAGGGGCGCCAGGTGCGTGGCGGGGTCAGGGGCACCGGGTTCGTAGTGGGATCAGTGTGTGCAGGTGCAGGGCTGGGTCGTTGTACCCAGATGGGCATGTGGATCGCTGTGCTTGTTACGGTACGACAGCTGAATTAGGGCTCATAGGTGCTCCGAAGAGGGATAAATTGGGCGTTTGTATGGTTCACTATTCATTCCCGTGCCACCAATACCAATACCAACAAAGGCAATGGGCGACATGCGAACAGGAAGTCCCAGGATTCAGACCCCAATGATGGCCCAGCGGGGCCATCATTACAGCGGCGGGCGGTGACCAGTCCGTGACGGACATGATGACCCAGCGGCGGGCGGTGACCGGCCCGTGACGGACATGATGACCCAGCGGCGGGCGGTGACCGGCCCGTGACGGACATGATGACCCAGCGGCGGGCGGTGACCGGCCCGTGACGGACATGACCCAGCGGCGGGCGGTGACCGGCCCGTGACGGACATGATGACCCAACGGCGGGCAGTGACCAGTCCGTGACGGATATGATGACCCAGCGGCGGACGGTGACCGGCCCGTGCGCCCCGCGTCCGGCAGGCCCGGAAAGGCCGGCTGGGAGCGTCGCTTCCTGCGCGTGGAGGAGGGCCAGCTGACGCTGTACGCCGAGGAGCCGTCGCCGGGCGGGCTGGCGCCGGCGCCGCTGCAGACCATCGACCTCCGCTCGGGCCACGTGCACGTGGACGCCGACGTGGCGTACTCCGAGGTGCCGCAGCTGGCCCGCCGCGACCTGCCTTACGTGTTCAAGGTACGGCCTCCGGTATCGGCGTGTGGCGCGGGTGGCGGGCCGGTCGGGGCAGGCCGGCCCGTCTCCTGGTGGCGATCGAGGCGGGATGGCGGAGTACGCAGCGGGCAGCGGTAGGTTGTCAGTTACCGCGGTGCGTTCTGTGGCAGCTGTGGTGGATGTGTCATCCGACGAAGGGATCGAGGGGCTGGCCATCGGTAGTGAGTCATCGCTTGGTCTAAGTCGTCGAAATGCTGAGCGCATTCTAGGTTTGGCCCCACTTGTCCTGGGAGTGTTTGCGTAAAGTGTAAATGTAACCAGAGAAATACCGTATACGACGCCCGAATGCAGCAGCTGAATACGGCCGCTCCGTGTTACAGCTGTGCGCCGGGCCCAGACGACCGTTAGCCCTTGGGGCCTCTGTTGACGTGGCGGAGGGGGATGTTGAGGGATGCCCCGCTGTCGTGTCCCTCGTAACGCCGCGCGCCGCCGCCCCACACACAGGTGGGCATCGTGCAGGAGACGACCTGCTGGCCGGCCAAGTCGTACCAGTTCCTGTGCAGCAGCCTGCCGGAGAAGCAGCAGTGGGTGGGCCTGCTGGAGTCGCTGGTGCCGCCGCCGGCCGCCGCCGGGCCGGCCGACGGCCGCGGCTCAGCCCGCGCCAGCCTCGTGTACGCCGCCGACGGCGCCGACTGCATCGACATCAACTGCGCGCACCTCGTCACCGACCAGGTGGGACGGCGGACGGCCGGCCGCGCCGGGCGTCGGCGCTCCGGGTTTGCCGCGTCCAGCGTGGCCGGCGTGATCACCAGTGCGACGGCATTGTGACTGAGATATTATGTTTTTACTGAGGCGTTTGTGCAGGTGTGATGCGCAGATGACACCCGCGAATCTGTGTCGTGACTCATTGCATGTGACGTAACCGCAAGCTGAGCTGCAGTGCAATGTGGAGCGACATGCAACCCGACGCTGCCGTGGCCTGTTCTGACACCCGTGGCCTGTTCTGACACCCGTGACCTGTGCTGACACTCGTGACCTGTGCTGACACACGTGACTTGTGCTGACACCGTGACCTGTGCTAACACTCGTGACCTGTGCTGACACCGTGACCTGTGTGACATCCGTGACTTGTGCTGACACCGTGACCTGTGTTGACACCCGTGACCTGTGCTAACACCCGTGACCTGTGCTGACCCCGTGACCGCCTCCGGCCGCCAGCTGATGCTACTCGGCACGGAGGACGGCCTGTACTCGCTGTCGCTCACCGACGGCCGCACGGAGCGACGCATCAAGGTGGACGGCTTCCCGCCTGTGCTCATGATGAGGGCCGTGCCCGAGGTTGACCAGCTGGTCTTCATCGCAGGTGGGCCTCTGCTGCTGGCCAGGCTGGCCTGCCCGGACCAAGGTGCCGCGCTGGTGCAGCCACAAACCGATATACATACCACCACATCGGCAACACCTGTCTTAGCTGGCTAGCATACGTGTCCAAATAGAAAGAGGGGTATCAGCTGTAACATGGCATAGACTCGCAGGTACACTGGTCAACTAAGATATACCAGGCGAGTTATGGGCAACTCGACCCGCTGGCTTTCTTTTGTGAAATGTACGCGTTGGCCAGCCGAAATCAACGCTGCATTTGCTTGTGTCGTATGTGTTATAGCTAAGGCATACCCCACCCGTTCACACACGTGGGTTTGGTTTAATGCGATGCGCTAGCCCCTCTTTGCCGACCGCACACTCTGGTCATATAGCCATCTAGCCGTTCTCGGTTTAGTGGTATTAGATATACATACATACATCATATATATATATATATATATATATATATATATATATATATATATATATATATATATATATATGTATATACACACAGTCACGTGACTGTTGGCTTATCTAGTGCACGCTTCTACATTGCAAGGCAACGTGGGATTCCGCTTTTGTGACGCATACGTGCCGTGCAAAGTTTTGCTGAATTCGAAAGCGTCCTCTGCTTGGGACTATAGCAAAGAGATTTGGAGTGAGGCATGCGTCACGGTTTCTTCCATGGTAACTCGGTGTCTTCGTGAGCATGTCGCACGTACCCTCACAGCCAGCTTTCCCGTCCCTTTAAAGGCTAGCAGTGCGTGCTCATTGTCTTAAGGTTTCGACTGAAGCGCTCCAGTCTAGACGCCAACATATCTGTCAGCCTCTTTAGTCTGCAGCATCGCGCCGTGCTGCGGGTGGTGGGGGGGGAGGGGGGGGGGGGGCTCCGGGCGCGCTCACAGCCGACCGCGGCCGCCGACAGGCAAGGAGCACGAGCTGCGTGTGGCGCCGCTGAACGCGGTGCGCGCCTGCGCCGAAGCGGCCTCGGTGTCGGCCGCCCGACTGGACGCCTGGCGACTGGAGGGCCTGCAGAGCTGCCACCTACTGGCCGCCGGCGCCACCGGCGACAAGCAGGCGTTCGTGTGCGCCGCCTCCTCCAACCGCGTCTGGTGAGCCGCTGACGACGCCTCAAACCGAACGCACTAGGCCACTGTCCTGTCTAAGCGGGCCTGGTGAGGCAGACCTCGCCTCAAACACGTTACATGAGTACCAAAATAAGCGTCATTTGTATTTCCAGCTGTATACCTGATAGGCTACGCGGGCCGCCCGTCGCCTCACTGGCGATCCGTATTCACCAGGGTCGCCTGGCGCGGTGGGCTGCCTTCCAGTGCCTGTTGCCGGGGTGGTGGTGACCGTTGACCGAGCTTTGGTCCGCCGTTCTTTAGCCTATTCCGCTGGAGTTACGACCTGACCACCTACCAGCTGGTGAAGCAGTTCAGCACGCAGGAACCAGCCACCTGCCTGCACTTCACCTCCAGCTCCATCATCATCGGCACCGACCGCTTCTTTGAGGTCGACCTCTGCAACTTTGCCATTGAAGGTCGGTCAAGGCAGTGGTTGCCTCCAGCGTTCTGGCGGAGTCAAGTGTGGATCGCACGTCAGCGCCAGTGCTGAGCACTTGGAGCGATGTTCGGACACACTGGTACTCGACCGGTGACAGCATTTGGTTCGCTCCGGAGGCCGGGGAGATGCTCGGACACACTGGTACCCAGCCCGTGACATCATTGGTTCGCAGTGGCCCCGGGGGGCAAGCAGCAGGCGGCGATGCACGCTGGTCAGTCTGTAAATGTCCAGATGTCCAGATCCGGATGGCGCGATGGCTTGGTCTGGTGTGCTGGATCCGCGGCACGGTCTGCTGAGGCGTGTGCACACCCCGCGAGGACGGGAGACGGCGGTGACGCGGGCGTCGCCGTCGAGCCCCGCCGCTGTCTGCTGTGTTTAACGCCGCGGGTCTGACCGCGCGTTGGGCAGAGTTCCTGGACTCGTCGGACGCCAGCCTGGCGTACATCGTGTACGGCACCAGCCAGATGCGCTCGTTCCCGGTGGCGATCCTGGCCGTCTCCGAGAAGGAGTACCTGCTCTGCTACCACGAGCTGGGCGTGTTCGTCGACCAGTTCGGCTCGCGCTCACGCAAGCAGGACATCAAGTGGACCCGCCTGCCGTTGGCCTTCGGTGAGCTCACGGGCGATGGCTCCGCTGGAGCAGACAGCTGAGAGTCCCTTTGGAACCCAGTGGTATAGACAGGGAAATTATAAAGAAGATACTAAGGTTTGTGCGAGTGGGTGTGTACTTTTTGACCCAGATGTATTGACACATCAAGCCCTTATCACGATCTGTAGTGTTCGTGGTGTGTGGAACATTCTGAATCGGTGTAACGAGCAGTCAAAGGAGGTTAAACCGCGGGTACGTTCAGAGCAACGCCAAAAATGTGTGGCATGTTGTGCCCTCGCTTCACGCTCATCTCTCGCCCTCACCGCAGCGTACCAGGCGCCGTTCCTCTTCATCTTCCACTTCCACGCGGTGGAGGTGGTGGAGGTGGCGCGCGGCTCGTTCCGTGACGCGGACGCGGTGCCGCCGGCCGTCAGCCAGCTGGAGCTGGCCGGCGCGCGCTTCCTGGCGCCGGCCGGCGCCGCCGGCGGCGTGTACCTGGCCACCTCCCTGCCGGCGCGGACCGAGCTGCACCGGCTGGCCGTGCTCAGCGAGGCCGTGGAGGACGCCGCCAGCGTCAGCAGCTGGGCCGACACGGACAGGTGGGCGTGCCGGCCGGGCGGCGGCGGCAGTAGCGGCGGTGTGAGGTCTGGACGGCGGCACCGCGGGGTGGGATGTGCTTGGGATGAGTCGCTTCTGGCTGGCGGTCCTGCTGAGGGATGTGTATTGTTGGCCTTCGCTGGCAGGTGCGGAGTGCTTGAACACGCCCCTGGGCGCCGTGTCGCTCTGTGGCGCACCTGGCCCCGCCCTTGACGGACTGCGGTCCCGCGTGACGCTCGTAACACCCGGCGGACCTCTTCTGCGCGTGACGTGGCGTGACGCGCGGCCGACAGCGCGACGGCTACGGAGCAGACGGCCGAGCCGGACGCCGGCTCGCTGGAGTTCAGCTTCACGCCGTCGGTGATGGAGTCGCTGGAGGAGGCCAGCGGCGACACGCTCTCCATCGGCTCCGACCTCAGCAGCATGTCATCTGGCAGCCAGCCGTCGCGACACGTCAGTGGGGACCGACTCCGGGGCGTCGGTGCGGTGGGAGTGCACTGTCCGACACGTCAGTAGTGACCGGCTCCGCGGCGTCAGTACGGCAGTAGTGCACTGTCACATGTCAGGAATTACCGGCTCCGGGGGCGTCGGTGTGGCGGTAGTGCACTGTCCGACACGTCAGTAACGCCGGCAGTCGCGTCAGTGGTGGCGTGCAGTGGTGTCAGTGGTACTGCGCCGTCCCGGCACGTCATTACCATCAGTGATGTGATCGGTGGTATCCGTCATGGGTACTGTAGCGTTTCTTCAGTAGTTCACCGACCTGCGTGGGAGATCTGTCGTCAGGGCGGGGGGTTCAGAGCGTTCTTGAGCACGAAGTATCATGCTGCATATGAGCCTCTCAGACTTGTGAAATCTGGCAGGGTCCCCTGCACTACAAGCGAGCTGGCCTGAACGACACTGACTCGATCACTGCGGGCTGGCTCTGTTACATCACGCCACCCGCCCATGGACTGTCGGATGGTGATTCGTTGAAGCCGACATGCCGACGATTCGGGTCAGAGAGCGCTGCTGACCTGCTGCTTCCTTCCGCCCGGCAGGTGCGCTTCAATGAGACCGTGCGGGTTCGCCAGCACAACCGACCTGCTGAGGCGCCCACTAGCGACGCCAAGCGGCGCAAACGCTAAACAGACGCGCTCCGACCGGCCAAGATATTAATCCAGCGCGCGTGGAGTAACGCGCCGTGCATGGCAAGTCGAGGACGTCGGGTAGTTTAATGGCGCCTCGGCCGTGTACTTAAATAGTCGTGTGTTTAGTTGTGAAGTGGACCAGGGAATACAGGCCCCGTGAATGTGTCGCTGGCCTGGGCCGAGTGCGACGCCGCAGAGTGAGGACCGCTTCCGGTTGTGATGGCGGACCGCTGAGTTTATCCGCCTTCGCCTGCCACCTCTTGCCCTTCTGTCTTTCTGTCCCGCCCGCTTCCCGCTTCCTGTTCTGTTCAGCTGTGTTCAATGGTGGCATTATGGTGAGCTTGCTTGCTCCACACGGGCTGTGTGCCTTCCCTTGCCTCTGTGCGCTGACCAGACCGAAATACACACATACGAGTTTCTGTTGAGACTTTCGTCGGACTGAAGCTGGAGACCGCGGCCATTTTCTGGCGAGCTCATGATAGACCGTCGTCAGTCGGTGTGCGCGTCGACTGACAGGGACATCATCGTCATTCGTGGGCCGATTTGTGATGAAGCGGAACATGGCGTGTGCCTACTGCTACCCATATCAATCTCCATCCGTACAAATTGCGTGTGCGTGCGGAGCGCGGCCCTGTCGCATGGTAAAGGGAGGGGGAAGGGGCGAAGCTGTCTAAGTCTGACGCTTCCACCGCGCTGTAGAAGTCGGGAGGGTATGCCGCACCCGGGCTCCCTCCGAAGTCGCGCTGACTATCGCACAGGGCGCCGCCGCAGCGCAGCGGGAGGCGCGGCGTTCCCAGCACGGCACGCCGCCTCTGGAGGGCGGCTGCCGGCGGAGCGACCGGCCGGGGTGGCGCCGACGCTGCGCCGGCCCGTCCGGGGCTGAACGGGCCGGAACGGCCGGCAGCACTTCACTCCCATAGCGTGGCAGTAACCGGACAGTAGCGGAAGGCCTAGGCCGCGCTCTCAGTCATCAGGAGACATGACATCGCGCAATCCGTCAACGGACCGCGCGATGTCGAGGCTGTCGCCCACCTCCTCCAGCACTTGCGTCCTGCCTGGCGACTCTCTGCGTCGGTGAGACGGCCAGAGAGCAGAACCGCTCACTGTACCAAAACAGCACACACATTTTCACCTGTATTTGGCAAAATAAATAGTACATTAATGTGCAGAAACAGCTAAATGACATCAAAATACGGAGATTTCTGCTACGGGCCGACGTGGGACCGGAGAGTGAGTTAACAATTGAAAATAGATGCCTACGGTGGCAGTTTGTGGTGGCGTGGCCAGCGGCTAGACCTGACTAGGGTGCAGACCGGCGCCTCACCCTCCGCCCACCGACACGAGCCCCATCACAGGAGGTGGACGTCCGTCCCGTCCGCCGGCGGCCGCGCGGCTAAAACCGCGCCGCGGGCCACGACCGCACGCGCCTCCCGGAGCCTGCCGGCTAACGCGGGCGGCGCCAGAGACACATCCGACTACACAACATAGCCTACAGAAACGCGATGACTGGACATGGTGCGAGGCGCCGGGCGCGCGCGTGTACGATCTACAGTGTGCTGTATATACATTATACATCTATAGGTGGGTGGGTGGGCGGAGCAGCGGCGGCCAGCGCGCGCCGGCCGGCCGCACGTGTCGCGGTAGCAGCATCGCGGTGGGCCACGGGCACGCGCGCAACGAGAACACTGACGGCAGAGCAGCTGTGGCGCGGCCGGTGGCGCCGCGCCACGGGAAAACACCGCAGTTGTAACTTATCTGGTGGCCAGGAGATGGCAGCCCGAGACAGTCAGGTACCGGCAAAATGGGGCGGGTCGACCGCTACCCACAAGAGATCCGTAGACACATCGAAGCACCAAATACAATTGCTCCACATTTAGAACGGGTTCTGAAGACAAACTGAAATAAGAGAAGTCGTGTTAGAGGAGGCAATGCGCCACCGCTCCATTCAATGTTAATCGCAATCAAACATTAAACCCACCGTGCAGGGCCTCGTCGGATCAGCACCAACACACAGACAAACTGTCACTGTTATACTTGCAGCCAAGATGTGGTGCCACTGCGTCACTTGTCCCGCTTGGACTCAAAGTTACACACCAGCATGGCCCTTCCCCACCAACACCCACTAACCAGTTTGTCTGTGACGGTGCAGCGCCAGTCTCTCCCAGTGCAGCGACCAGCGCCCCGCTTCCCCGGCAAGGGCGCGGTGTGGGTGCGTGGCGTCCCCTTCCCAGCACCCAGTGCGGCACCCCCTCCCCGTTCCCAGCATCAGCATCAGCATCGAGCCCGGTACCTCTTCCCAGAACCGAGTGAGGTACCCACCTTCCCAGCACCGAGCACGGCACATCCCCCCCCCCCTTCCTAGTATCACGCGCAGTACTGGGGATATATTCCCAGCACCGAACGTGGTACCCCTTCCCAGCACCGAGCCCGGTACCTCCTTCCCAGCACCAAGCCCAGCACCCCTTTCCCAGCACCGAGCGCGGTACCCACCTTTCTCGGTGGGCGAGCCGACGGTGGGGCTGGAGAGCGAGCTGGACGCGTTGACCGTGGACGACACGGACAGCAGCGACGGACAGGCGGGCAGCTGGTCCGGCTCGTGGTCGCCAGCCGACCAGCACGTCTCCACCATCGCCTCCAGACAGTTGCGGAACAGCTCGGCGTTCACGCCCGTGCTGGTCGACTGTCGGCGGGGAGGCGCGCCGCGTCAGGAGCCGGCACAGCTGTCACGTGGCTGAGAGGCGGCGGGGTGCGGCACACCTTCTGATGGCCGCCGCGCCGTCACACGCCGCTCGTGATCACGGACACGCTCAGAGCGACCACACATCCCGCGCGAGCGAGATCGGCCCGCCCGACTGAGGCCGGCAACGCGTGAGCTCGGCTCGCAGTCCAGCGTTACGCCGTGGCGCGTGCGGCCAGCGCAGAGTACGCCACTGCACACTGCTGCCCCTCCCCCGGTCGGCGGTCCGGCAGAGCCGCGCGGCCGCGGCGTCCATCGACGGCGCGCCGCCCCGGCCCCGGCGGCTGGCCGCTCACCTTGGTGAAGGGCCCGGCGAAGCGCCACAGGCCGCCGAAGCCGTACGCCTGGATCGAGTGCAGCTGCTGCGACACCGTCTCGTGTTCGGTGGCGATCATGTTCTGGATGATGCACTGCACGCAGGTCAGGATCACCTTGTCGTAGCAGTTGGACAGCACCTGGTTGATCTTGGCGTCCAGCAGACAGTGGCTGCGGACGGTGCCGGTCTAGTCAGCAGGATGCTCCGAACCTCCACCGGAACAGTCCAGGAGCATCTGCCTCACGGCGTCCGGGCGGGAGGAGCCTCATGGCGGCTGCTGACCGC